GCTAGAAGTGGTGTGATAGCTAGAGAGTAGATATCACCATGGCTATTTGCTGGAAACAGGTTGGAAGTATAGCAAAGAACCTCAGTTGATAATAAATGAAGTTAAGCTACTTTTAGAAGCCCTTGAGAGATGTTATACTATGAAAAGGGGAGACATACTCATACAAACTGATTCTAAAAATCTCTTTGGATTGATAAATGAAAGTAGAGTAAACTGGCAAAATCGATGATTGCTTGAAGAATATATAATTTAGGCTATGGGGGGTTAAAAGGTCAATACTAATACCAAGAGCTTGCAACAAAGTGGCTACCTTGGTGGCAAGCATGGCCCTTCAAAACTATAGCTTCGGGATAGTCTCCTGCACTCAAGATGTCACAAGCGAAATTAGGGCGTGCTCTTATCTTAGGCATTGATAATCTCCCCTATCTAGCTAATATGTACTACCTTTGTTCTTAAATGAATGCAACAGTCAACTTTTCACGTTTGCTTATGTACAACTTTGACCATTAGTATATTTTGTTCTCTTTTAATAAAAAAAAGGGAAAGTTCCCGAAATAGGACTAAAACAGTTTGAAAATTCCAAAATAGGACTGTCATGTTTTTTATTTCCAAAATAGGAGTAATTACTGCCAAGTTTAGAAAATATTGTCATGTTTGAAGTCTGGTACTGCCAAAACATGACAGTAATTAGTCCTATTTTGGAAATAAAAACATGGCAGTCCTATTTTGGAATTTTCAAACCTTTTTAGTCCTATTTAGGGTAATATTTCTAAAAAAAATTAAAAAAAACATATTTTGAAAACATATTTAGGATGAACAAATTTAACAATATAAATTTTAAAATATGTTTTTAATATATTAATAAATAAAACGTAGTCAAAGTAGAACATGTGAATTGTGTAAAATTTCACATGTTGCATTTATTTAAGAACGGGGTAATATTAAACTTTCTGTATTGGGGTAAAGTGTGAAGTCCTTCCCCCAAATCTGTGAAGTGTAAAATTAATCCTTCAACCAATTCAACCAAAAAGTTTCTTCACCTGTACTTTCTCATTATTAACAAATTCAGCGTCCCAAATAAAAAAATTAGTGAATAAGTTGATAATCCAAAAAATAGGCTTATTCAAATGGGCACTTAAAATATGATTGGTGAGGGCTATTCAACTTATGTGGCCAAATATGGTGAATTTTCTAAAAGAAAAAACATTTTGTAAAAACTTTCAATCGAATAAGCAAATAGAAAACTACACCTAATGTGGTTACTCTAATTATTTTGCTTAGAGTAGTCCACTTTATGCTACCAAACATGCTCTTGCTCTGTTGCTCTTATTATTTTCTTTCATTTTTACCCTTACCGATCTTGAATTCTTGATACATTATTTCCTCAACTATATTAATGGTGGCGCAGGGGTTACTCAGATACAAAGCTTTCAAATAACATAGAATGTGAAATTTTCCAAGTGTTACCGGAGGAGGCAAAAGAGAGTTATAGGGAGAAAATTGTATTTGAATTAACGAAACAACCCCATTAAGGTATTGGTAGGAACGTTGAGACCCTTGCTAATTGGGTTAACAGCTGGAAGAAGAAGTAAAGAACACATTGGAAGATTGTACTTACTTTGTTTTAATAGAAAAAAATAAATGATTCTGGAAATTTATCGAGAAATATAGCTCATGTGTTCAACATGTATGATCCTTAAACATTATTTTAATAATAATAACATTTATTATCATAAATATGGAAACATTTTTACTGTTCATGTGCTATTGTGGTTTTATTATTTATAATAATAAGAGGTACATATTTTATGATAACTTTTGTTTACGTACTTTTTCAGTGCACATATGAATTTATCAAATAAAAGTTTGGATGCCTTTACTGATGTGTACGTATGTACACTTGAAGGATTGTACCGTTTAATTTTTGGCCGGTTATTAGTAATAATGGCTTAATATCCATTTTATGTGCACGTACGTAAATTCCAAATTCGAATGAAACGAATGGTCACATCTTTTTTTTTTTTTTTTTTTTTTTTTTTTTTTTTTTTTTATAAAAGGCACCTCTCAATCTATAGGACCAAATTATGATCAAAACACCTAAATGGGAGTTAACGTTTTATTATTCCTAAATAGGACTCCTTATTCCCAATTTACCCCTGCTTTAATAAAACCTATTTGTCCATCTTCCGCATCTTGGCTTCTTCCTCTCTGCACCTTATTTCTCGATCGGCTTCTTCTCTGCACCTTACTTCTCGATCGGCATCTCTCATGGCATAGAGACTCTCTTCAACGCATCGCTCCAACCAACTTGGGTACAGGTAATTCCCTCCTCCTTCTCTATCTCTTCCTTTCTTCTCCTTCTGCTCTTCTCCGGCCTTCTCGTTTCTCCTCCTCCTCCTCCTCCTCTATTCTTTGTTCATCTTACATTTATTATTATTTTCTGTTAATTTATTTAAATTTTTTCCGATTCTGAAGGGAAATTTTATTTTTGGTTTGAAACTTTTGAATTCAAAACATTTGGGTATAAAATTTCGAGGCTCTTGTTAAAAAAAATCCAGATCTAAGTTTTATTATGGTGTATCTTTAGCAGCTTATACGAAATGCCACATTTATGGCATTTTTTTAAGGAGATGGAAATATTGCATCTTTGGAAATGCCAATTTTTTGACATTTTCACAAATTTTGGCATTTTTAGGCATTGAATTGATTTTGTGCCCAACATTGCTTCTTCATTTTTCATCTCCTATTTCACATTTTCAACTCTAAAATGTGAAAATACCATAATTTATAATCTGAAAATTCCATATGTTTACATCTAGAAATGCCATTTTTTTGTCATTATTTTTATCATAATTTCAAGTTTGTCTTAAATTGATACTATATACTCCATAGGAGGTAAACGTGATTAAGAAGAAGAAGAATTCAGCTATGGCTCCATTCACGCTGCAGAAAAGGGTAAGTTGCCTCTTCGGAGGTGTGCAGCGGCAATCTCAGCTGCGGCGGTCTCACTTGGCAGCTGCGGCGGTCTCGACAGCGGCGGTGGCGGCCTCGACAGCTGCGGCGGCGGCCGTGCGGAGAAGGTAGGATGTTGAAGGTGTCGGTGGTTTGGATTTCAGGCTATGTGCATCGGCTATGTGCAGAAGGTCATGTGCAGAAGGTCGGATACTGGAAGCGTTTTTTATTTATTTAGCCCTTAATTTCATTAAGGGCAATTTTGTCTAATCAGTTGGTTTTTGGTCCTATAAAATATGAGAGTCCTATTTGTGCATTTGAACATTGATTTGGTCCTATTCAGGGAATTACCTCTATTTCGAATCATGTTGAACTTTTCTATCTTCTCATCTTGTCCAACTTTATCCCTATCATCTGAACTTTTAGTGATAAAGTATTCAGACCACTTATATACAAATCACTTGTTCGATGTAATTTTATTAGTAGCTAAAATACACCACTCACCTTTTTTTTATCTTAAAAGTTCTATCTTGTAACCCGGTTACTGTAATAAAAGTAGATAGTAAACTTTTAGGAAAGTGTATTTAAAAAAAAAAAAAGATGACACCCCATCCCTGAGGGCCCCCCACCACCGACCGGACGGCACGATGAGAGGATGTAAATTGGACTATAATCACAATCTGACAGATAGAGAGTGGGGCTCTGTCCCCGGTACTTGCAGAGACCCTATGCATTTTTCAGCATAGTAACCCCTCATCGCAGTTGCCGGGATTCGAACCCGAGACCTAACCCTTGTGGCACTCCCTTGCTACCAGTTGAGCTACGCCCACCGGTAGGAAAGCGTATTTTATACTCCCTCCGTCCCGCTATGATTGTCCCATTTTACCATTTCGGTCCGTCCCACTAAGATTGTCTCATACCTTATTTGGTAAAATTTGTGTGGTTCCAAAACATTCCTACTTTATTCTTACTTTATCAATTCAATATCAACCACATAAACCCACTTTTATTAAAAACCGTGCCACCTTCTCTTGTCCTAAACTTAGGGGGACGGAGGTAGTACATGACTAGAAGTGGTATCCGGTCCAACCATATTTATACACCCTTATATTATACGTAGTACGTAGTACTATTTTTATCCTCCTGTTCTAATAGATTCTGCAGAATGGTTTTGTGCAAGAGTAGTTTTTCAGCCCGTTTGGTAACACTAAAATTGACGGCTGATTCAGTTGAAATTTATGAAGTTTTCGTTAAAGTGATTGTATTGGCTGGTTCTGCTGATTTATTAATAAATAATATTTAAAATATTTTTTATTAATAGAATATAGAAAAAATTATATGAAAAAATAGCTAAAATGATCCTCTAAAGTAACTTCAGTCAATACCGTCAAAAAAGTAATTTGAATTTATTTATTCTTATTATTACACAATTCAGCGCAGAAATCAAAAGTTACGTGTAGTGGTGGACCGGTTCCGGGCCGGGCCCGGTTCGGGCCTTGAACCGGCCGGGCCTCGATTCAAGGTAACCCTGGGTCCGGTTCGAGCCGGTCCGGGTCCGGGCCCGGTTCTATATAATTTTTTTTTTTTGGGTTTTTCTAATCAACCCCCTACCCTCCCCCTCAACCCCAAACCACCCCAAACCACCTCAAATGGCCCAAAATAACCAATCCAACCCAAAAACTTAAAAAAAATTCAAAAAAAAAAAACCGGCGCGGACCGGGCCTGAACCGGCCGGGCCGGTTCACCAAAATGAAGGCCCGGGCCCGGAACCGGTAGGCACCGGGCCGGGTCGACCCGAACCGCCCATGGGCCGGGCTGCCGGGCCGGGCCGGTTCAAACAGTGACCAGGCCGGGCCGGTTCCGGGTCGGGCCGCCCGACCCGATTCCATCCCTAGTTACGTGTTTGGTGAAAATATTGACTAATAAGCCTGATAAATCGAAAACAAAGTCACCAAACGGATTTTCATAAAATTGTTTGGTCTCTTTCGTTTCCTTATCTTTATTTGTTTTCACTTTTAATACTATAAGACTTTGTATTTAGTGTAGCATAACTGGACAATGCTCAAATTTGATTATGATAGAATGGATAAAAAATAATAATTAATTACACTATATTCTCAGAGTCTCTTTAACACTTCAATAGAGTAAATGAAAAAAAAAATCTTTATTTAAACATTATTCAAACATAACTCACGCGGAAAAAATATGAGTAAACTTACTATATATTAGTAATAATATATGATCTTTGGAAGTTGTTTCTGCTACCAAATGGGCAAATGTTCAAGTAATTAACTACTCTTTGTTAAACAGCTCCCGCCCAATGATCATTCTTCTGATCTCACTGGTGCCTGCCCCTATTTCATACAGTTTTGCATCCCGAAGGAAACGCCCGGTTGGATACTCATTCACATACCCATTACCCCCAAGACACTGTATTGCCTGCAAACAAACACGGAATAAGCTTAACCCCAAACTAAGCATGACATTCTTATACGTAATATGCTGTATAAAGCACCCACTGGGAATTCCTAATTCTTACCTGAAGAGCAACTTGAGTGGCTCTTTCAGCTGCACATAAAATCACACCTGCACAATCCTGGATGTATACAATTCATATAACATTAAAATTAACGAACAAATTTACGGTCCGTTTGGTCGAAGAACGTTTTTTTTTAATTTTCAGCCTTGTAGGGCCAGATTCCAATCAAGCTATCCATGCCTTGAGGCTTGAGCTAGTTCACTATGTTGGTTGAACCAGCTTATAATACAAAAAACAGTGTAGGCACTTTTTTGGCTGAACTGGAAGGAAATGATTTGATCAACCTTCATTTTTCATTTGGCTCTAGTTCTTTTTTTTGTACAAATATATTAAAACCATATGAACTATAATTTAAAATCATTTCAAACCTTCAAAATTTGATAAAAAGGGACATGTAATAACATAATGAAGGACCACTACTAAGAATTCCAAATTATAATAACAACAGGCCAAATGGTAATAGAACAAAGGGTCAAACCTTTGGATCAACCTTCCCATTGGTTGAACCAGCTTATAATACAAAAAACAGTGTAGGCACTTTTTTGGCTGAACTGGAAGGAAATGATTTGATCAACCTTCATTTTTCATTTGGCTCTAGTTCTTTTTTTTGTACAAATATATTAAAACCATATGAACTATAATTTAAAATCATTTCAAACCTTCAAAATTTGATAAAAAGGGACATGTAATAACATAATGAAGGACCACTACTAAGAATTCCAAATTATAATAACAACAGGCCAAATGGTAATAGAACAAAGGGTCAAACCTTTGGATCAACCTTCCCATTGTCACAGTCCCTAGCAACAGAATAGACATATGACCTACACAATTATACAGTTAAAGAGAGAATTGAAGTTAATTTAAGAGCTGAATCTTTCTTTCTCCAATATACAAAATAATGGAGATGGAATTAGCAAGAGTAGTAGGAGGAACTACATTACCTTGAGGACTGTAGGGCAGTATACATGTCAGCAACTTTCCCCTGTATAAATTGATGTTCACCGATAGGCTTGCCGAATTGCTCCCTCTGGCGGACATATGGAAGTGCCACATCAAGACAAGCCTGCATGATCCCAATAGGCCCAGCTGCTAGCACAAGCCTTTCCAAATCTAGGCCCGACATCATAACATAAACTCCTGAAGAAGTACACAAACCATGCTGTTAAACACCAAGTCCTTAAAACTGATTCTTTTCTTGGGATGGACGTACTAGTCTAAAAATAAGAAAAGAGATAATTGAGTAGAAGCAAAAATCAAGATTCCCCTCCGAAATCTCTAACCAAACAAGCCCTAAAGAAGCTTATGTTCCATGTACTCCAATGTGTGTGTATATCAATTATGCCCCCTGTGTAAAACTTCCCCAAAGCTATATGTTTCTAAACATGACACTAACTAATCTCACGCACATGTTGAATTGCACTTTGTTATAGTGGTTCACATTTCCATATCAATTGAGGTATGATCTAAGTAAATAAATGCTAATGAACCTTGAATGAATTATCTCTCTGTCCCATAATACAGGCCTATTTAGTCATGGTAAAAATTTTTATTTTTGAAAGGTGCAATGGTTGAAAATAACATAATCACACGGAAACTAGTTCCATATGATGAAATATAGCATTTTTAACAAAAAGATCTTTTAAAAGAAGGCTCCTTTTATGGAACGGAGGGAGTACTTTTAAACTACAATGAAAATTAGTTGGAAGGGACAATACCTTTCCCTTCCTGCCCCAGCACATTCTCATCAGGAATGAAGCAATTTTCGAACACAAGTTCACATCTGCAAGGTTCATGGTCCAAATGTTAGTTCATTTTTCAATTTGCACTGAGATTGAATAAAAGAATATCCACACTGGTTGAGGCAAAACACACATACGTATCACTTCCTCTCATCCCAAGCTTGTCTAGTTTCTGGGCAGTACTGAAACTGCAAAAAACAAGAAAAAATGTGTAAAAACCAACCAACCAAACAAAAAAATGAATGTGCTTCACAAGCTCTTAGTGCATGGTATATTGGTATTAGATATGACCTCATTAGATACATATACATTTACATTAAAATATGTAATGGAACGATAAGTCAAAGCTGTTCCTATTGAAACATAAGAATCACCATATTAGTCCCTCATTTGTTCTTGGTTATGCATTTACTCTCCCAATTTAAATTTGGTGCGATCCGGTCACTCAATTATCTAAAAAATGTAAATTCACTCTTCACAGCATAATTGTGAAGTCATTCGACTTGATTGTCGTTTGCAATTTCATATAAGCATATGCATGTGAATGGTTTTGTTTTTATCTTCTCAACTGAAGCAGTGAAACAAATGGTCAAATGTAGTCTTTTCTTTTAACCAACAATGGCCCATATTATTCATCGATATTATTCATTATAAAATATGAAGTGCATACCCTGCCATTCCCTTCTCAATGATAAAAGCAGTGATTCCTTTTGAGCGAGCAGCAATATCCGTTTTAGCGTAAACAACCTATCCATTGTAATTTACCAATGCCGTCAAAATGTAATTTGCATTATGAAAGAATTACAAGACGAAGACGACTTTGCTGAAGCACCAGTAATACAATAATACCATGGAGAGCTATCATTAATCTCAGAATAGATACTACATCAATAATGGATTATCCCAATAAATGGCGCTATGCCCAAAGATGCAGCCCAATAGAGATCAAATTACTGCAATAATATCTATCTCTCTCTTTCAATGTTTGCATGTATGTGTGCCAAATGCTGACAATAGGTTCTGTTGAGCTTCAAATCGTAAATAATGTGAGATAGCTATATTTAAGTATGTTAATAGTGAGGACTGAGGAATAATACCAGTGTTTGTGCCACAGGACCATTGGTACACCACATCTTATTCCCGTTCAGAACATAACCCCCATCAACACGATCAGCTCTGCATTTCATGCTAACAACATCTGATCCGGCTGAAAAGGGAACCATATTAATTGGAAATTATTTATTTTTCTAAAAAAAACTTGATCTGAGAAACCTTTGTTACAATTTAAAAATAGTTCAAATAGAGATAAATAATTGTTGAGTAAATGAAGTTTTAGGGAAAAGTACCATTGGGTTCACTCATAGCAAGAGCGCCAACATGCTCACCTCTGATCAGCTTCACCAAATCAAGATAGCGAAACTCTTAGACCATGAACAAATTTTCACATCTTCACCAAATAGGTAATATCATCATTGACATTGAATGAAAAACTAATTGCAATCATACAAAAATATATATGTTAACCCAATAAATAGTAAACCATAAGAAACATTTAATCTGAGTATCAATCTAATTTAGCATAAGTACATAGACATTTGATCATGAACTCTTAATTAGTAATGCTCAAAACATGCTTGACATTTATAACAGTCAAATAGACATACTTCCATTAATTCTTTTGGTTTCTTAAATTTTAGATTTAGTTCCTTTTCAAAACAATTCTTAACCAATCGATATCAGAGTCGTGATTTTCATTGTTTATCTATGTGGTTCAAACAGCAAGCCACATATCTCCAAAATTAGACTGCCTCCACTTCTACAACTCCACAAAACAATCTAGATTTCGTGAATCTAGTTTGCAAGTCTCCAATTTCAAAAAATCATTTAATAACTAGAGATATATCATATGCCTGCATAAAAAATATAGGATGAACAGAAGACAAGTAAGAGATTAAGAATCTAGCTTTCGAAACCTTTGGGAGATACTTTTTCTTCTGATCAGGATTTGCATTCCTCACCTACAAAATGTTATATATTAATAGAAGACTGGGAACGTGATACAAGTTGTTGTTTTAAAATAACAATTTGAGTTAATATATTATTACCAACTGACTAATGCACACATTAGAATGTACACCATATGAAAGGCCAACCGATCCAGAGGCACGGCTAAGTTCTTCCATAGCTATACAATGGTATAAATAACCAAGGCCGAGTCCTCCATATTCCTCTACATAAAATATAGGTGGTTACAACACATGAAACTCCACAGTTATTTAATTATCATATTTGTTTAAAAAAATTGATGGTTACTCAGATGATTTTAGCTCTTAACTGAGAGATTTGAATTAATTAGGTAGAGTGATGGATATTAGTTAGGCAAGGTCCCATACAAATACCCCATACAGATGCACATATAGTGATGATAAATCTACTACCTATCTTAAAACTGTATCTACTACCTAGGAAGCTATGGTTGGATAATATGTACTGCAAAAAAGCAATCTAAAGCAACATATTGTTAATGCAAAATAAATAAATAAAAGTAATGTGAAATTACAGTAGCAGACATTAATTAAACACTACCCCTATGCCAAATCCGTCATGCACCTCAATTCGTTCGTTCCTTCATTCCCATACACATGGCAGTAGGGCATTCTAAAAGTTCTTACAACAATTTGAATGAACTGTTAATAATTCAGCAATGAAAAGTTGTACCTGGAGCCGTAATTCCATGAAGGTTGAAATCACCCATCAATTTCCATAAATTTACATCCTGAAAATACAAAAAGATACATGCAATCAAAATGTAATCCCCATAATCTATTTAAAAATCAGTCACAAATTAAAAAGCCTGAGACAAATGTAACGTAAAGAGTTGTTTGAGAGAACATTGGAAAGAGAGGAGGAGCGAGGGGAATCATTTTATGTTTCTTTCTTTGCATTGTTTAGGTTTTTGTATTCACCGGCAGTCTGGCAGAGCTCGTCACTAGCAGAGCCCCGTCTGCCAGCCGGGTATATCTTCTCCCCAATCCTTGGTCCGGAGGTTTTGCACTTATTTTCTTCCTCAACCACCATCTTGCTTTAGGAGAAAGAGATCTTTATAGGCGATTGGTGAAACTGATTATTGTTTGGTAAAGTTTTCTTTCTTGTTTTTTGTTTGGGGAAATTTGGCATTGCACACCCCTTTTTGGCTAATATTAAATTTTGCATCTAAAATTATTCAGAAATTGCAAAATAGGAGTATCATGTTTTTTATTCCCTAAATAGGAGTAATCTGCCCAGTTTGGAAGAAAATGTCATGTTTAAAGCCTTGTAATGCCCAAACTTGGCAGAAATTTACTCCTATTTAGGGAAATAAAAAACATGATACTCCTATTTTGGAATTTCAAAACGTTTTTACTCCTATTTAGGGAATTCTCTCAAAATTATTTGATTTTGCATCCCATTCAGAAATTTTTCTTCACAAAGTGTTATATGATGGGGTACAAAATCAAAGTTTTTTTTCAAAATGAGGTGCAAAGACCAATATTACCTAAAAAGTGGGGTGCAAAATCAATCCCCCTTTGTTTGGTAAAGTTTTCTGGTTATTGGTGAAATCAATTTTCCCTTTCCAGTGATTGGGAAGCCGAATCTTTTATTTATAAATGCATCAATGCAACAAAACTGTTAAATTAGACTATAGGATGTTTTCTTTTGGACTGAAATTTGCTGGTCTGGTCTGGTCTGGTCTGTTTAAGTCTGGTCTGTTTAAGTCTTGTCTGGTCTGGTCTGGTCTGAACTGGTCTGGTCTGGTCTGGTAAACGTCTGGTCTCTGTGTATTTTATAACTACGGAAGTCTGGTCTGGTCTGGTCTGGTCTGTTTAAGTCTGGTCTGGTCTGGTCTGGTCTGTTTAAGTCTGGTCTGGTCTGGTCTGTTTAAGTCTGGTCTGGTCTGGTCTGTTTAAGTCTGGTCTGGTCTGGTCTGGGACTGAAAACAGTCCAAAAGAAAACATCCTATGTTATTGTGGAGTTAATGATCTTAAAAGATTTGTGAGATCTTTTAGATTGAAATGCATAAATGGTACCTTAACTATTACTCCCTCCGTCCCAGGGAGAAGTTCCCGGGTTGACTTTCACACATATTTAGGAAATAAAGTTACTGAGGGGTAAATTTTACTGTTTGACACTGTTTCGACACTGTTTGGCACTGTTTCGACACTATTTGGCACTGTTTTGCACTGTTTGACACTGTTTTGATGTAGGATAACTTTCCATTTAGGGAAATGAGAACTTTTTGTTGGGACTACCAAAAAAGGAAAGTGGGAACTTCTTCCTGGGACGGAGGGAGTAATATTATTGCCTTTTGTGCCTAACATAAAAATGAATCAAATTTGATAGAATATATGGGCCCAGACCCCATGGCCCACATACTCAGAAGACTAAAACACGCAGCTGGCAGCCTGGCACAAATGATCCCCAGTCAGTCAGATGGTCCTCCGTCGACCAAATGGTCCTCTGTCGGCCCAGATGGTCCTCCATCGACCAAACACCTATCAATTCAAAATATGGTCCAGAAGCCCGGGAGTAGAACTTGATCCTCCGTCGGTCAGGCACTCCTTCGGCCTGGTCCTCCGTCGGCAAAAAAGTCCCCGACAGAATAGTTTTCATACATAGTCAAATAAATCAAGTATTCAGCCCATTAGAGACCTTATTTTGTAATGGGCCTCCCAAACCCAAGACTTGGGAGCCCAAATCCATGTTTCCTCCTATAAATAGCCCCCTAGGGGTAGTTATAGAAGGTTGATAAATATTAATTGCTCACTTTCCCTCTCTAGCTCTCACTTCTCTCTAAAATCAATACTCTATCAAAATCAGTACCATAATTTTACATAAATATTTCAATTGACAATATTACTCAAATTTTTCAGCTAAAAAATCATACGTGACTACCAGAATTCTATGCATAAAGTCTCTTTCACCTTACTTTTGTCCATGTCGTCAGGGGCAGAGCCAAAGCATTGGACTCGTGCAAAGAATATTTTTGAAAACAAAATTCATATGAAAATTTGTACACTAAAAATATACACATTGTTTTAAATTTTGGATGGATCGGGGCCTAGATTATTCCCACAGACCTTGTGACGCCCTGCATGTCATCGCTATACGGTGGATACCACACATGAAATTTTAATCGTCAGGTAGGAATTTTGACCGCAAATTAAAATAATATTTTCAATTGAAACATTTAAAACAATATCACTAGTTAAAGTATCATATGCATTTGACCCTATCTTTTCATTTACTTCAAGACTACGACGGAAAAAAGAAACTGAGAATTGTGAAATTTGTGTCAAACAACCTGCGGAAAACTATTAGTTTTATCGACTTTTTCCGCGTGAGGAGCTACATGTTCTTGAGCAAACTGAGCAACACTTTCTTTGAACTGAAATCAGGAAAGAAATATACAAGCTTAGCTTCCATTGGAGCAAAGCTATAATAATCAGCAAGAAATTGGGTATAGGAGAAGTAGATGCAGAAATGACCTGTATCTGTGTATCATCAAAGAGCAGAGTAGAGAAAAGAGCTTGTTGCTGATGCCGGGTCCGATTTTTAATTAAGGAAGAGGCGAAGGACTTGGCAGCGAATAACTTGTGCATTTTCTTACAGAGAAATGATGATCAATATATTGACTGTTCTTAAGTGTGGAAGTTCAGACTTGGAGGATATGTAGAGAAGATGGGCAAAATTTTACAGGGCACGTTGCATGCCAAGGAGTTGGGATGCTATAAGCCACTTGAGGAGTTTTCAATATAATACGGAGTATCTGCATAGGAATGATAAACAACAAAACAAAAACATTATCCTAGTGCGGAATGATATTTTGTCTAGATCCATATTATTTGATCAATATTTTTGCACAACTATGATAAGTATTGTTGTGTTTGTGTTTGGTTATATCAGGGCGTAGTCAGGAGTAAGTGTTAGGCTGGGCCGGTACAAAGAATTTTTACAGATAAATTACACATAAATTTTTACATTATAAATATAAGCAAATTTAAAATTTGGATTGGGTCGTGGCCCGGTTGGCCACCCCTCCACCTCCGCCCCCGGTTATATACATACACGCATTAACATGCATGAATGATAGTATGGTCACATCTAATTACTTAACTTCATAATGTAATAAATACTTTATATATGTCTCGAATTGAAATGCAATTTACCATTTTTAAGGTTGATTAACCATAAAGTAAAATCATTCTGTGAAGAGTCAAATGAGTTTTAATAATCAAAATTTAAATATTAATTAGCTATATTGAAAGTTTTACAAAATCGCAAAAAAACAAATCAAAATATAATAAAAATTGATATGTTAAATAATTTGGAACTGCGTTAACCAAGAAAAATGTAATTTGCAAACCATTTTGGGATGGAGGGAGTGCTAAATAAGAATAAAATTTAAGAATATGTAAAAAGTTTTTCTCTTAATGAACAAGTAGCTCTCCTCATATCCGTGTAGTTAAAGTTAAATCTATATATCCGTAACTTTAAAAATAAATAAATTAAAAAGCAAAAAAATGTTCGACGAATCAAGACGTCCTAGCTAGGCGGCTGACACCAGTGGAAAAACAATAATTTGCAGCACATAATAAGTGGCGGTTTTATAAAAACAACCACAAATTTGAGCCAGAAAAAAAATCGTCCACGCGTGGCGGTTTATGTATAATACTCCCTCCGTAACAAAAAAATCTTCTCACTTTCCTTTTTCTTCTGTAACAAAGAAATCTTTCCATTTCTAAATTTTCTCATCATACCTTCAATAATATTGAAAATAATACACTGCTATAACTAATTTTTTGAATTTGTCCTTCATTCCATCACACAATTCCACCATTTTCCCATCATACCCTCAATAATTTATATCATCTTTCACTGTTCTTAATATACATACTTTTGAAACGGAAAGTTTTTTACCCAACGGAGGGAGTTGTATGTTTGAGTAGGCTATTTTCACTCCAAAATTATTAATTTTGTGCAGTCCAACCTGCCCAAAAAATACACGGAGTCACCAAACTAATGCGTTATGTCTAAACCGAGTTTCGTAAGTGCTTCGGCACTGCAGTTCGGCCATAAGCCAATGACCATTGTTTTACACTTACAAAATTACTGTTTTTAACATTTTGCTTTATTGATTACGTGACCAGTTTTTTAAAAGGGCGTTGCTAGGCGCACCCTTGATATTACTTTAGGTCTATGTTTGGTACAATTAGCTGAAAAGATCTTTTTGTGAGCTTTTTAGTAACTGTTAGCTTTTAATGACTGAAAAGATCTTAAAAGTAAAAAGTGGTAGCTGTTTGGTAAAAAGCTGACTGTTTGATTTAGTTCTGTTTGGCATACAAGCTGTTAGGATTTTTTAAAGCTAAAAGTTACAGACTTTTCTCAGATGCTACTACCTGTAGCATCTCAAAAAAGAGCATTTATTTTTTGAAAAGCTCTTAAAAATTGGCGTGCCAAACAACCAACTAACAACTTTTAGAGACTTTTTAAATAGTACAAAAGCCAAAAGCTATAGACTTATGTCAGCCAAACATAGTCTATGTAACCACGCTGTGATTATTTTGACGTTTTCATTTACGGAGTTTTCAATTAAAATCGTTTAGTTTAATACGCATATAAGTAAACACGACACTTTGATTTTCAATTACAATTGACATCTCATACAATTTCTTGTTATGTGGCAATTTTTATTATTATAAAATATACATAGTTTTTATAAAAAGATATCAAATTAAAAAGATATCCAATCAAATTACTTTTTAGGATTTTTCTTATATGACATTAATATTACATATGTAAGTTCTGAGAAAAATCAGTTTAAATCAGTTTAGTGTGACTTGGTAAACGACTGCCAAATTTATAAATTAGGGAAAACTACAGTAAACGTACTTGTGGTTTGGGGTGTTTTCAATTTGGGGCATGAGATTCATTTCTTGACAACCACGGGCGCGTGATTCCACTCCGTTATCTCACCTGGGGCACCGACCTTACGACGTTAGTAATAACTGACGTGGCAAAATTTTTAACGGTGAAATTTGAAATGGTT